TTTTTTTTTTGTAGACTAAACCTATTTTCTAAATGGCATATGATATTTTCGTAAAAGCTCTTGTATGAAAGAAATTTTTGTGATAACAAATTGTAGGGAACTTTATCGGGAAAATAAAAATAAGATGGCTTAAACATATAATACCGAGGCCTGCAGATTCGCTCGCCCCGTATGAACATCTGTTTTCCAGGATACAACGGCAAAACCGAATAAAATTCGACGTACTGGAATTATGCCTGGATCAAAACATTATAACAGAAAATGGGGAAAAAAATTTTGTTTTCTTCTTTTTGTGTCTCCTCTTCAAAAGAAAACAAGCCCTTTATATAGGCTAAGATAGACACTTCATTAATTAATCCATTTAACTCAAAATTTAATGAAGATAAGTTAAAGATTAATCTTGTAACATGAAACAAATTACAAGTTTTGAGATGAAAAACACGGTTTCAAAAATTTAATCTTTATGTTACAAATTTCGTTCACAGTTTTCCAACAATCCCCTACATGAATGAAATTGAAAAATAATGTTATGGTCCAATAGTTGAAACATGCATAAGATAGGTAGGTGTTACCATTTGAACCTTCCCTTGTGAAAGCACATTAACTTTATTAGCTTACCAGTAGACGCATGTCTTTGAACTGTTCTGCCTTTTGTGTAAACGATGAATATACTTCACACAGGATTCTCCCTAGCATATTCCAGTTCTCATTATTATGTCCATCAGTGGCCTTGGACATAGCCTGATTCTGTGAGAGGGTCTAAGAATTGAGCCTCACACAATTCTCTTCAGAGCTGCCCAACTTCTCTCTCACATAGGTGATTCTTAATTACAAGTAGCCCATACTACTTTCCCATACGAGAATCATTAAAAGCCAAATGCTTATCCTATTCACAACAAGTATCACTATTTAAGGAATGGACAATGGATAATTTCTCACAGTGATCACAACAGTCTTTTTACAATTAGGTTGTCCCTTTGAACCAAGATCTTGGGATCTCCAGTCAACAAGGTAGGGTTTCCATTGTATCAACTCATTTCTAGAGGCTTAAGTCCCACTCCTTTCAATGATTTAGCAACCAACTCTCTGTTTAACCCTTTGGTTAGCAGATCCGCAAGATTGTCATTTGACTTCACATAGTCAATAGATATAGTACCAGTTGAGAGTAGTTGTCTAATGGTATTATGTCTTCGACGAATATGTCTAGACTTACCATTATACATGTTACTTTGTGCCCTGCCTATAGCCGATTGACTATCACAATGTATACAAATTGTTGGCACTGGCTTTGACCATATTGGATTATCTTCTAAAAAATGGCGAAGCCACTCTGCCTCTTCTCAACTTTTGTCCAATGCTATAAATTCGGACTCCATTGTGGATCTGGAAATAACAGTCTGCTTAGAATATTTCCACGATATGGCTGTAACTCCCAAAATGAATAAATATCCACTAGTGGATTTTAGAATCTTTCATATCCGATATCCATTTGGCATTACTATAGCCTTCAATTATAGCTGGATATTTGCAATAGTGCAGACCATATTTACAAGTATATCTCAAATATCTGAGTAATCTCACAATTCTATTCATTTGTTCATCTCCTGGATTACTTATATATCTACTCAGTTTACTCACTGCAAAGGCGATGTCCGGTCTAGTACAATTCATTAGATACATCAGACTCCCTATCACCCTTGAATATTCGACTTGAGAAACACTTTCTCCTTTATTTTTCGACAGATGTTGACTTGTACCTATGAGGGTCCTAGCCTGAGTCAAATCATCCTTGTTAAATTTTTTAAGGAATTTCTCCACATAATGTGTCTGACTCAGAACAATTCCTTGTGATGTTCTATGAATTTTAATTCCAAGAATCACATCAACTAGACTCATATCTTTCATGTCAAATCTTGAATTTAGCATATCTTTTGTGGATTTAATAATTTTATCATTGATTCCAACAATGAGCATGTCATCTACATAAAGACATATGATTACATAACCCTTTTCTGTGTCTTTAACATAAACAAATTTATCACATTCATTAATTTTAAATCCACATTGAATCATGACTTTATCAAACTTCTCATGCCACTGTTTTGGAGCTTGTTTTAAGCCATACAAAGACTTAACTAATTTACAAACTTTATTCTCTTGTTCGGGAGTAGAGAAAACTTCAAGTTTCTCCATATAAATCTCTTCTCCTAAATTTCCATTTAAAAAGCTATTTTTACATCCATTTGATATATTTCAAGGTTTTGTGTTAAGTATAAAAATGATGGGCAAGGGATAACCGAGTTACCCGACTCGGGTCGATCTCGAAGGAAGGCTATTCGGAGCTTTGTCTACTAGATGATCGTCCAAATCACAAAAATCGAAAATAAAATCCTAAACATTCTAAACAATTGATTGAGGGCGATTAATGCTAATTACGACTATTGAGAGCGATTAAACGAACAATGAGCAAGTGAACGTACTACAAACTCTAGCAACTAACCGGTGCACAAA